TAAATTAAGACAAAGCTCCAAACTATTTCAAAATGATGAGATTATATTGGATATGTTATCTAAAAGATGCAGGTGGGGGGTAGGGATCTGGTGTGAGTGTGGCTGTCAGCAAAGGAATGTGAGAAAATCCTTGCGGGGAAGCAGAGATGCAGGCAGCCGCTGCACTGGGCTGCAGACTAAGATCCCCATAAATTAGGAAAGAGTAATAAAATTGGCTATGGGCGGTGTCAGCATCAAGGGAAGGAAGTGCACCCAGGAACACCCATTCCACTCCTAGACTGTACACTCAGACACTTCCAGGTGACTCAAATGACAGATGGGGACAACAATTAGATGGAATAGTAGCCGGAGTGAGGACCTGTGGGACCTATGGAATGTGGCAGGTGCAGAACTCCCATCCACTCAGAAATCTCCTGAACCTGATTTGTCTGAGTCTCCAAGGTCACCTTCCTCAGGCTCTGCAGTGGAGAGTCTCTTCAAGGCGGCTTCTAGTTCCTCATCCTCTCCCCTGAGGGGCCAGGCACTCTCCTGGGCACCTCCCCGGAGGTTCCCACAGGCCTGGCCTAAATGGAGAAGCTTCTGGTTCTTCTTGGGCTGGGGTAGTGGACATCTTTGCAGGATGCGCATGTACAACAGAAGCTAGACCAGGATGGGCCTGCCCAGGTTGAGTGTGCCCAGGATGAGCACGAAGGCCTCCCTAGGCGTCGTGCAAATGGGTGATGGCCTCCTTCAGAGTTCGGGTATATCTTCTGTTGCACTGTAAACCAATTCTGCACCTGTTGCTCCTCTAGGCCGAGGCTGGAGGCCAGGGCCACCATGGTACCGTGGGATGGAAAGGAGTCCTTCAGGAAGTGTGCCTCCAGCTCCTGCATCTGCTGCTTGCTGAGGATCAACATAGACCAGTCCGAGGTCGATGGGCCCAGCATATTGCGAAGGCTTTCGATCTCATCCATGACAGCAGAGGCTCCGTTCAGAGGAAAGGGAGGTCTGCATTTTCAAAGAGTCCAGCAAACAAAAACCCAAGTCTGTGAAGTAACCTTGAGTTAGTAAAGACTGCAAACCTTATGCACATGCAATGGAATTCTTGGAAAATTTACCAGTGGTCAGGGCTTGACACTGGAGAAACTTTCTTTAGAAAATTAATCTGTTGTACATGTAGGAATGGTATGACTAAGAAAGTCAAGGAAAAAACATTCAGAAAATAATTTAATACAGAGTATTACTTAGTAAGGAGTCCTGAGGGGCCAGAGAAGGTTGTGAAAAGAATGTTTTGAGAGTAGAACAGAGAACCAGTAGAAAGAGAAGACACCCAAGAGCCAAACATGTCTGTTGTGGTAGTGTTATGGACCAGCTATACGGGCAAAGACCAAAGA